CATGGATTTATATTAATACACTTGTTTGGATGCATTATTGTTTATTTACTCTAGTAACAGCTAATTCACAGGGACTTGTAGGCCAAATGCTCCACATAAATGGATTTAAAAAGTGTGCAGTTATTTCACACAGAGAAATATTTAATCATTGTAATGTAAGGAGATGTTCATTTAACATTTATGGAAGGAGTCTCCAGTGCCAGCACTTTGTAACAGTCAGAAAAATTTCCTCCATGGGAGAGTCAACAGGCCAGTTACTGCTTTCTTGGTAACATCAGACAAGCTGTGTTTTTTTTGTCTTGCTAACTTCAAGGCAAGGCAAAAAAGAAAAGCTGGTGAGGCAATGGCTGTTTGTAGCTGTTAGTGGTAACAGGAAGTAACTTGTTTCAATGATATTCCACAACATTAAATGTAACTGAATATCGTAAATGTAAAATGTTGTTCTTAAATTTAAAAAAAATTGTGTTGGCATAGCTGGCTCATGTGTGTAGATTGTTGTTGATGTTTCAGTGCCTTTTTCTGGGCTGCTGTTAGGAATGTAGAACTGACTCCCAAGCCCAATATCAAATATTCAACCAAATCTGTTCTTTTGCTGATTGTAAAGATTAACACTGGTGGAGAACTAGGCATGTGCTTATAATCAGTAATACACCACAATACCTGTTTATACAGAGCATAGTATTTTTTCTAATATAGTACTGATTATTGTGTTAATACTGACAACTGTGATACAATGTTATTATCGCATCATGGAAAAAAAAAAAACATAACAGCACCACAGATTATTTGGAATTTCCTTGTTTCAGTGCAGTGTTTCAGAAAATGTTGTACAATGATGTGCCTTAAGTGTATGATAATTGCTCAGAATTCCTGTGATTATCATTTATGATTTTTTAAAACTTTTTTTCCTTGAAATGAAAACAAGAGTTGTATATTCAAAATGTAATTCATTCAGTGTCTTATTACTTAATAAATGAGTTTTGCCACAAATAAGTTGATGAATAGGTAAAATGTTTGGATCTACATAACAAGTTTGGTCTCTGTTGATTTACGTATTAGGTATAAGGAAAAAGAAAAAACAGAATGACATGCATACAGGTATAGAAAAACAAAGAAATGAAGGTACAGAAAATATTTGAAAGAACTGCACATAAAAGATAGAAAAAAAGCTCCAAACAAGAGTTAGGTTTTTTGTGATATACTATTGAGCAATTCAAACTTTTTCAATTACATTGAATTAATGTTATCTGAGAGCAAAGCAAGCATTAGAAAGTCAAAATAAAAGGTTATCTCAAAAGTAAATTTCAGCAAGAATTGGTGGGTAAATAACATATTCAGAGTAACGAGCACCATAATATGTCATGCTGAAATTTACAGTGAAGGGAAGTAACCATACTTATGGTTTTGTTATTTAATATATTTCCAGTGAATATATCCACTTCATGTATCTGTCAAGCTTACATAAAAATAAATGATGCTCTACTGCAGATATAAATGCTGCAAAATGGCATTATGAAAGGCCATTGGTTGGGAGGATTTCATGGAACAAGTAGCAATCATGGCAAAGGTAAAGCTTCCTAAAGTTCTCAGGGACATTAAACAACACTTGAAAAAAAACAACAATGGAAAAAAAGCTATCATAGCCATAGCAAAGACCTTAAACATCCCTGTCAGTACAATTGGTCTGATAATATGCAGGTATAAAGTTCATGGAACCACAACTTATCATTTCGGGACAGGTAGGCCACAAAAGATTTCACAACACACTCTCAGACTAATGATAAGGCCAGTAACTAACTTCTCTGATGTCTATAAACAATATCTTCCTTTGACCTAATAGCTTTTTTTTTTAATGTATACTAAATATAGTTATATATACCTAACTGTGTGTATATAATATATGTATATACACACAGTTAGGTCCGGAAGTATTTGGACAACAACAGAGTGTTTGTGATTTTGCCTTTATACACCACTACAATGGATATGAAATAAAACAATCAAGATGTGATGGAAGTGTAGACTTTCAGCTTTATTTTAAGAGGTTCCACAAAAATATGACATTTACCGTTTAGGAATTACAGCCATTTTATGCAAAGTACTTCCATTTTCAGGGTCTCAAGGGTATTTGGACAATTGACTGACAAGAAGTTAATTGACCAGGTGCAGTCCAATCCCTCATTACTTCAAGACAAATGAAGCAGATAAAAGGTCTGGAGTTGATATCAGGTATTGAGTTGGCATTTGGCAGCTGTTCAACTGGATCCAAGGTGATCTCAATCACAGAATCCTTTCCTTGGTGAAGAAAAACCCCTTAACAACATCAAAAGAAGTCAAGAATACTCTGGAGAAGGTAGGTGTATCATTGTCGAAATCTACAATCAAGAGACGCCTTCATGAATGTAAATACAGAGGGTTTACAACAACGTGCAACCACTGGTAACATTCAAGAACAGGAAAGCCAGACTAGACTTTGCCAGAAAACATCTAAAAAAGCCTCCCATGTTCTGGAATAAGACTCTTTGGACAGATGAAACCAAGATTAACTTGTACCAGAATGATGGGAATAGAAAAGTATGGCGAAAGAGAGGAACAGCTCATGATTCAAAGTATACCACATCATGTGTCAAACATGGTGGAGGGAGTGTTATGCCATGGGCATGTATGGCTGCCAATGGAACAGGCTCACTGATATTTATTGATGATGTGACTGCTGACAGAAGCAGCAAGATGAATTCTGAGGTGTATAGGGCTATACTCTCTGCTCACATTGAGCCAAACGCTACAAAACTGATAGGATGTCGCTTCACAGTGCAGGTGGATAATGACCCTAAACATTCTGCGAAAGTAACTCAAGACTTTTTGAAGGCAAAGAAATATAATATTCTTCAATGGCCAAGTCAGTCACCTGATCTCAACCCAATAGAGCTGCTTTTCACTTACTGAAGACAAGACTGAAGGCAGAAAGACCCACAAACAAGCAGCAACTGAAGGTGGCTGCAGTGAAGCCTGGCAAAGCATCTCCAGGGAGGAAATTCAGAATTTGACTTTTGAGAACATGGGCTCCAGACTTCAGGCAGTCATTGACTGCAAAGGATTTTCATCCAAGTATTAAAATTACGGTTATTTTTACAATTATGTCACTTTGTCCAAATACCTTTGAGCCCCTGAAAATGGAGGTACTTTGTTGAAAATGGCTGTAATTCCTAAATGGTAAATGCCATATTTTTGTGGAACCTCTTAAAATAAAGCTGAAAGTCTACACTTCAATCACATCTTGATTGTTTTATTTCAAATCCATTATGGCGATGTAAAAAGGCAAAATCATAAAAACTCTGTTATTTATATATATATAGGTTATATATATATATATAAGTTATACAATTATAGTCTCTGTACTCACATAAGGACACAAAAGTACAGTTTCAGCAGAATGACGAGTGCAGCACAACATTAAAACTGCACATTAGGATGATCTAAATCTATGTAATCTCATTATGCAACACTGACTTGAATTGCCCTTCCTTCCTGCAGGTAAGAGGTCCTGCGTGGGTGAGTTGTTTATTTTCCTGGTGTCTCGGCTGCAGAATTTCACCTTTACCACGCCCGGAGGACCTGAGACTCCACTCCTGAAATCAGCAGCTTTGCCAACGTGTCCCACAAATACCAGCTCATCGCTACCCCCTGCTGAACTAGGACATTACAGCAGGCTGATGGTGCTGCCTTAATGCAACCACTAGTGCAAAGATTGTAGCCTGACCATATCTCACATGGATATTCATGGATTTGAAGAGCCCAAGATAATATCTGTTTATATACCATACAGGCATATATATATAGGAATGAATGTTAGGTTTTGACTAAAACTATTACATTTCCTGTTTTTGATTGTTTGTTTGTTTTTTACTAATTCAATTTTAGCCTTACTGTCCCAAAATGAAAGCAATGCACACCAATGACTACTCACTTAAATGAAACAATTAACCAAAAATGTACCAAAAAAAATGCTTTAATTTGAATAAATAAACTAAATAAAATATAATATAACTGCTATTTTTTTTTTTTTAAATTGTTGCCTTGTTACATGATTTTTTGCTGGTAATTTGGTTGGTGATGTCCCAAATATCTGGCCATATGTCGGTAGTTCCTGTAAGCTGTAAACAAGTCACATATGACACGTCTGTTCAGTTATTGAGTGCGCCACAACAAGATAGAAAGAGCTCAAATCTCATACACGGATAGATAACTTACTACTTTGAAAGATAGCTAGATAAGACGTAGCTTTTGTTGACATTGTCGATATTTTCTTTATACGAAAGCTATTTTTGGACAATAGTCCGACTAGGGGGCCTGAACAAACCTAAGACAATGCCTTGAATACATTAAAACCAGATCTGAAACCAGATATACTTCCACATGTTATGAAGGGCAGGCTTAAACGAGCTCCTTTAGGAATGCTGTACATATTATCACTACCCCTGAGATCCTAAATTTGTCATTGCCTTAATTAGAAGGTAGTATAACAGCCACGTTCTTCTAAAGTACTTTATTTTGGCTGAAATTTGAAGCCAACTTTGTCTTTATCCTTTTTCGCAAAGGCAACCCAACAACTCTGCAGCTAACAGTTTCTTTATTAACAGCCATATTTGCATTCATAGACTACTGAAAGTCAATAATGTTTAGCTACCATAATGCAACATGAAAGCAGCATACGGTATGTAACTTTCAAACTAACTAGAGTTACTTTTTCATTAGCATTTATAGACAGACAGCAATCATTTCAATTTGTTTATACACACAGTCGCATAGTAATTTTCCTAGTGCAATATTGAATATGTTCATTTTGATAACTGCGATACATTATCATACCACAGATTATTTGGAACCAGTGTTTCAGAAAATGTAGTAATTATGTGATTATTCCTGAGATTATCTTATTTATTTATTCATTCATTCATTTACTGACTGAATCATTGATTGATTGATTGATTGCTAGTGGGTCCCTGGAGGACTAGTGGTTAGGCCTCGGTTTTCTCACCGCCATGGCCGGGGTTTGATTCCCAGCCAGGGAACCAACCTCAGCCACTGGGGTTGCACAAGACAGTGCACTCCCAGTGCAGGTCCCAAGACCTGATAAAATTTGGGAGTGTTGCATCAGGAAGGGCATCCGGCATAAAAACTGTGCTAAATCAAATATGTGGACCGATGATCAGCTGTGGTGACCCCTAAAGGAAGCAGCCGAAAGAGGAATAACAACAACTTGTATTTCATTGTTAACAAGAGGTATCTATACATAATGAAATTTATTCAGCCTGTCTGTATGTAATAAATGAGATCTTCCCCCTAATAAAGAGCTAAATAGCTCAAGTCTGTGGATCACATTACATAACACATTGGGGTTCTGTTGATTTGTATTAACTGCAAGGAAAAAGAATTTTAGAGAGACTTCTCACTACGTGTGATAAACCGTTTGTATTAGTTCAACACACAACCCTGTGAATGGCATGAACAAGTGACAAAATGACAGATGTTGAAAAACAAATAAATGGAATTATAGAAAGAGTTACACATAAAAGTATAAAAAGGCTATGAAGCCCCAGACAAGAGTAACATTTCGAATCCAAGCTGTGGACTCTTAAACTGGATTTAAGTGCTTTGAATTAATTTTGTCTGAGAGCAACGCAAGCATTAGAAAGGATGAATATGACCTTTTGGATCAAAATGCGCTACTCCCTGATAAATTTGGCACAACGGTGAACAAGCTGGGACTAGTAAAGACACCTAGATGAGCTACAATCTATGTTGGGTAGAAATAATTCAACTAAGGCTATCTGCTAAGATGCTGACGTACAGTATTGTTGGAGGTGAGAGAATATACTGACTAATCACATTCATTTAATGTTCGCACAGTATATCAAGAGTTTAAAATGATTTTTAAGTAAATCCACGTCAAACTTTATGGCAGTGCCACTTCTCGCAATGTTCCTCTTAACTGCAATTTGTATATGGGTCATATAGATTTCGTTGGTGTGTTGTGAATTCAAGTCCATAACATCCCTGTGCCTCATTTTTAGTTCTCTTTCAGGGTTAGATGTTGGGAAGATGGTGGTCATACTTGGGCTTGTGTTTGTTTTTCAGCTCGGGTGCCGGCGAGATGGTGCTGCTGGTAAGCTGAGGCAAATACTGGGCCTAGAAATCAAAATGAAAAGTTTTCACAATCGAAAATCAATTTCAACATTTCATAGAATTGGAGGATAAATAACGTAACATGGAGCCTATGTTACTTACCCCTGGCACTCTGCGTCTGGCACCTTTCTCATGGCGCCTCATGGGTCGATCGCTTTCTCGTCCCCAGCCGACTCCACCCTCATCCTGGAAGTATGGCAGCTCTAATAACTCCTCACATGTCAGTCTTTCAGCAGGGTCCATCATGAGACAGGACTACACACAGACACACACAATTTAATGTATGGTTTACATAAATCATGTTATACTATACATATTACATCCCCATTTATGAATATTACCTTCATCACAGTAATGGCATGAGGAGAGGCACTGTGGAACTTCTTCTCGAGTGGCTCCTAAAATAAGCCATATTTATTAGCTAAGCAATGGTGCAAATTGTGTGTATGTGTGTGTATGTGTGAGAGAGAGGGAGAGAGAGAGAGCACGCAAGAGAGAGAGAGAGTGTAGTGTTACCATGGTATCTGGTTCAGGGATGCTGACTCCACTGAAGAAAGCATTGGAGCGGAACACCTGCTGGTGTCGAGGGATCAGGTCACCTGAAGGAACAAAAGTTAACATCTTTGTTCATAAAGCTTCATTATGTTGGCTTGACAGAGCCAGCGTACTGTTTTTCATAATCTTCTTCTTCTTCTTCTTGTCATTCTGTTAGAAAATTAGTTTTCACGGGTCGCAATCTTTGACACACAGACATTTTTGGGAAAGATTGGAATTACTGTCACCACGTAGCAATGCTCCGAAGTGGGTCATTGTTCCAGAGGGATGACTTTGGGGTGCTTGTATTTTTAGTCGGAACGTTGTGCGAACAAAACCAGAGAAGTTACAGACATGAAACTTGATCATTATGTAGCACATGGCGAACCTAGCAACATCCTAGCAACCAACTTGGATTGCATAGCAACCATCTGGAACATCATAGCAAGCACCTAGCAACACCCTACCAACTAACTGGGATAGTGTAGAAACCAAATAGCAACACCCGAAGCAACCACCTAGCAAGACCCTAGCAACCGACTGGGTTACCACAGGAACCATCTAGTAACACCCTATTAGCCACTTGGAATATCATAGCAACATTTTATCCTTTACACATTATAAACTTTTAGCCTTTTAGCCTCTTAACCTTTACACACTTAACTGTTAAACATTTTAAACTCAATAACGACAAAACCCACTGCAATATCGTGTAACTCTTGTAGCATGTTTAGCAGGCTCTGTCAAGCCAACATCAAAGTTCATCCATGAACTTTAACCTTTTAGTTATTATTCTGTTTATTACTACACTTTATACCACAACACTGTTGAATTCTCAATTCTGAGTGGACAGCAGCTCTGACAGTACTGCCCACTGCAAGGTTTACATTAACGCACTGGATCTAATACATTCTGATCATTTCTATAATAACAGCTAATTCACGGGGACTTGTCTTGTGAACACCAAACATAACCAAAGCCTAACAATAAACAGATTTAAAAAATATATATATATTTAACAACACACCAGTGCTGCCCCACTACCCTGCCCCACTAACAGAAGTATTCAGTTGTTCACTTCCTGTTCCTGGTCTTTGAAAGCACAAGATTTTCCAACAGTCGTTGCGAAGTCTTTCCATCATGTAAGATTTATAGAAGGAATCTCCAGTGTCAGTGCTTTGTAAAGTCAGACGTAAAACTGTATCTTTAAAGTTTCAAGACGGAGAATTTGTGCTTTGTGGTTTCTTAATAACATGACAAGCTGCATTATTGTCTTATAACAAGTGAAAGGAAAAAGAGGCTGATAAGGAAATGTTTATAGCGGATATATTGTAATTAATAACAATAACAAATGACATGTCATTCTTCAATTAAAGAAAATGTTATCTTTGGCAAAATGCTATGGTATAAGAGGAATAAAACACTTCAGGATATACTGTTATAGGAAAATAATCAACTTTGGGGTGGTAACACTAACTCCACTTCCCATCACACTACACTATTGTTGATTATTTTCCAATAACTGCATGTCCTGTCGTGTTATACTTAAGATTAGAGTAATTGTATATTTGGTTCATTATCAGTTATAAATAGGTATCAATGATCAGTAATGCAATTTGCAATACAAGGATGACTGTTCAATTGTGTTGTGTTGCACAAATATTTAATGCACAAAGCAAAAGATGCCTTCATGCTGTATAGGTGTCTATAGAAGGGTTTGATGTCTGTACCTTTTGATTTGCTAACAACTGGTTAGTGTAACTCTATCAGTAAGTTCAGTGGGCTCTCCAATACGGCTTCTTTCGTTTATTTTGCTTTTTTTTATACTTTATTGATCTTGTTCAGGTCATACCCAGCGTCTTGCGGATGAGGTAGAGCTGATCTACGTCTGAGCGTCCAGGCCACAGTGGACTCCCGAGAAGGAGTTCAGCAAAGACACAGCCCAGAGCCCACACGTCCACCGGCGGGCCATACTGTGTGTCTCCCACCAGCAGCTCCGGTGCTCGGTACCAGCGTGTGGCCACGTAGTCAGTGTAGTCGTCACCCGGGCCAGCTGTCTCACACACACACACACACACGTGCGATCCACATCCATATATATTCACACACTGACCCTCATTTACAAAAATGTGAGTTACAAAAATTAAAAAAAGACCTTTTATTGGCTTAGCATTTACAATCACACGCATCATGCTGGGGACAATTACAACAGCACCACACTATTCCTGACGCTTAGGCTACACTTTAACCTATGGTAACGATACACTGAAACCTAAGAAGGTAAGTGGAGCTTTAGACAGCACTAACTGACTGGGAGGCCCTGGATTTCACACTCACTGATTAGCAAACGTCTCAAGTTAAATGTGAGATAGGTGGGGAGTAGGTATGAAAAACCTGATATCACTGTTTCTGTTATATCCCAGTATCTGCTAACAACTTGGCATATTTAAAGACTTTTAAGCCCCCTAATCTTCCAGGAAGCACTGGCCTCAATCTCGTACCTTTGTATGTTTTCTTTATGCTTTACTGTTCTAACTCAATAATTAATATTAGTTACCAAATAATATGCTCAGTGATGAATAACTGATTAATAAGCTTGGATGTTAAAGTAATAAGTATCCTATTCAAGATATTCTTTCAGACAGGATGATGTAGGATGTATCTGAGCTGGTGCAATAGTTAAACGCTTGAAAACTCAAAAGCTTACAGGATTTCTAGAGTGACTTACAGCATGTTTTACAGAAAAAAAATTATATATATACACAGTATATATATATATATTTTTTTCTCTCTCACTTGGCAACAAAAAAATCCCACAGACCGTAGCTTTAAACATATCACTGCAGTGCAAGTATGAAATTCTAAAGCTGGGACACCTGATAGATGTTTAATAAATTTATAATAAATGAATAGATGCAGTCATAATAAATGCAGTTAACATAATAAATAGGGCTGTATTCAGAGTAAAGTTAAGCAAGTGTAGTGAGGAGTTAATACTGAAATTGTGCACATTGTTACTCAGATCTGAAACATACATAACTACAGACTTAAGGTGATTTGCATAATCTGAATGGCCCCAGAAATCAACTTGAGGGTGTGCGTAACCCATCTCTGAATACGAATAACTTTCCCCAAGTAAATAATGATGTAACTTTTGAGCTTAAGCCACTATCATTGAATATGGTCACAAGTCATTAGTTCTGAGCATGTTGTGGATGCTAAACACACAGGAAGAAAGAGAGAGAGAGAGAGAGAGAGAGAGAGAGAGAGAGAGTTTGTGAAGGTGAAGGGCAGAGGAATGGATAAGAAGGTGACCTACTCAGGATCCGGGCAAACCCAAAATCACACAGCT